ATATATATATATATATATATATATATATATATATATATATATATATATATATATATATATATATATATATATATATATATATAATATATATATATATATATATATATATATATATATATATATATATATATGCATATATATGAGTGTATACGTATAACTGCTCTCAAAAACGCGTATACAGAATATGTATATGTACTATACTATTCCGGGTATAAGATCATCCTTTCTTTATTTCTACATGCAACCTTGTATGCATATACATAAATGTGTATATTTGAATGAAGAGCACAAATTGATCTCTGTGACCATCAAATGTATGTTTGTCTATTTATATATTTTGATGCTTTTTTCTGTGTACCTACACATGAATATATTCAAAACGAACAATCGATTTTTGCCGCGTCGATAAACACTTAAATATGACATATACACATGTTTTTATGTCATGGATGATTAACCATCTTAATAAAAAGATGAATGAATGCGTTAATGAATACACAATACCTCTGTTTTCCACGGCCACTTCATGGTGCCTGTAGTTACCTAAAAGTAGCTGATAACCTTGTTGAGCGACGCTATTTGATATATATACGTTCATTCCCTCGATCTGACCTGTTGTCAAAATGTGAAGACTTCCTATCCTAATATATCCTGCAAGAGATCTGAAATAAATATAAAAACTCTCTCTACTATAGTAGAGTAGTATTTATTTAGTCAAAATGATCGCCATGATAAAGGGGAAAAATTTGACGCATAATTTGGAATTCCACAAGAAGAATATAATACACAAAAATGCTATATTTTAAATAAAAAATATTTACATATTTACAAATGCAGTCAACTCTTCTTGTTTTTTTTACCCTGTACAAATGAGACTCCTACTGTCCTACATACCCAGAAAAAAATCATTCTTTTCCTTCCAGTAATATTATAGTATGTATTAATATACACCTCAAACTCAGAGGCTCAGACCTCATCACTACATCATTCAATTTCTGGACTGGCAGTAATTTGGACAGTCCTGAAACTGGTAAACGACAACATTTGAAACCACGAAAGACCGACGCGAGTTGTGAGTCATGCATGTCATTGCCACAAAGGCTTTGCCGTTTACCAGAAACTAGCGAAGAGCCGAGGGTCCGAGCCCCGAGGGCCGTCCGGCCGAGGCCCAAGGGCGACTTTAATTTTGTTCAAATATTTTATAATATGAATCGAGGAGAGAGAGTGAGAAAAAAAAATACAAAAACTCCCTAAAAAAACTGTGATGAATTTTGTTTTAGCTTTTTTTTAATACCTTGTTTGTTTTTTTTAAACAACCCAAACAAAAAAACCAAACAACAACGTCAATTTCTTTTATTTATTGTTTGTTTTGTAAAACAAAATATAATTAGGAGGCTGTTTGTTTGTTTTGTTTTTTTTTAAAGATCAAATAAAACAAAAACAAATCAAAACAAATCAACGAACCATTTTGCTTTGTTTCATTTCAATTTTTTGTTCTTACATTTTGTTTTTGTTTTTAAAAAACAATAAACAGCTGGGGTCTGACTGCCACCTGGCCAACAGCTGAGGCCTGACTGCCCCCCGGAGGCCAACACTCAACAGGCAACAGCTGAGGTCTGACTGTCCCCTAGGGCCCGGGCCTGAGCCCTGACTCCTGATCCCTGAGTACTAAACCCTAAAACCAAAATCCATTGTATGTGCATTTATAATTATATATTGATAATAATAAAATTAAATCAGTCGATGAAGGCGATAGAATAGACCAGTGAGATTGAATTCTCGGATATGATCAACAATTCAACATATATAGTTGTCAATATTATAGTTCTTTTTACTCCTGCTTGTTGTGCTTTCAACTCTGATGATTGATGGGCGATGGCACTCTCTAGTCTCTACAAGTCTCTACTACTCTAGAGTCGAGAGTAAATAGTAGCAGACGTAATAGTGGGTCCTGTCCTGGACTCCTGGACTCAGGAGTCCTAGTCCCTGCCTCCCTGGTCCCTGGTCCCTCAGAGGAGTCAGAGCTCAGACGATAAAAAATTTGAAAGATAAACTCACTTTTTGATTTTTAGAAACAAATCACTAGAAATCATACTCAAACTTATTGTGTCCTGACTCTCGCCCAGGGCAGGGTGGTGGCCTGGCCGGCTGGTGGGTTTGAGGCTCTGAAGTCTCAAGTCTGAGCCCAAAGTGTGTCAGGAGTCAAAAGTTCAAGTCAATTTAACCTTTTTTTTTTAAATGGAGCACCTCATAGGCTCATACTCTCATAGGCCATAGCCGCTCATCCATTTTTTTTTAAATAGCAAAAGAAACGCCGCAGAGTGCAGACAATTTGCTGAAGAGAAAATGCTTTTGGCGGCCCACTCTCGTCTCTCGATATAGCTTCTACGTGTTCCCAATTTCCCATTTGAAGAAAAATACATATTTAGCCTTCTAAATTATACAAATAAATAAAAGAATAAGAAAATGCAAGACTGTTTAGAGCTGGTTTGACTGTTGCCTGTTGGTTGTGGTGAGTCATTGCATAAATCAAAGCATTCTTCTAAATATATTTATAGAGTTCGTTTTCTGTGGGGACTGGGCCCACTGGGGCGGCTGGGCTGGGCTGGGCTGGGCTGGTCTGGTAAACGACATGTCGTTTGCCTATAGCGACGTGTCGCGACGGTCGTTTACATGATTTTTTACAACATGCCGCGATTGGGGTCGCGACATGTCTGGTGGCAGACAAAATTGAAGAAATTAGACCCTCTGAATCATCAACATCTGAAAATTTCGCCAATCATCACGGGACCTTTCATCGATTATCATTGAGTGAACATGAAAATTCTGAAAATTTCCGACTTGTCATGTATTTTTAGTATATGTAAACGACATACGATATGTTTCAGACGACATGTCGCGACCTCGTACCAGCCCAGGGACTGGGCCACTGGTGACTGGGACCACTCACCAGTGGCTCAGTAGACAGTAGACTACACTACTATTTACTCTCTAGTAGACTTTTATTAGTATGTACTATGTAGTAGTAGTCAGGAGTATTTTTCAATGTACTGTTTGTATTTTGTATGGCAATAATGTTTTATCTCCAGAGCGAGTAGCCTTAAAACTTAAGTAGCCACTCAACGAGTATTTAGTAATTACACGAGGAACGGCAAACATATTTAATACATTCCGTCCGCCGTCGTCCTGTCTTTTTTTTTAAAACAAACAAATCAAACTACTTTTTTGTTTAAAAAAAAACAAGATCATTTTCATATTGAGCTTCACTCATAAGGTTTACACGCCAAACTGGATTTTACTATATTAACTTGGTTTTTACTTCTACCATGACAACTAATTTGACTTGGTAACGAACCCACAATATTTTCTTTTCTCCGACCAAAACATTATTATATATTTACTATACAAATATCTAATAAAAGTTAGTTCTTCTATTTTAATCAAATATTGTGGACCAATAGGTTATGGGCCTCGACAATTAATTCACACTTCACTTAGTCATCAGTGTCCACTGTCCTCACAGATTCAGATCATCACATTCAAATGATTCACACTTCACAGTGGATTGAGTGAAACTTAGAACGCGAGTCACTGTTAATTTTTTTGGTTTATTTATTTATTTTTTTAACAAACAACCAAAGAAAACAAATACCATATTTTTTTTATACACATATTTGTATATTTGATTTTTTTACTAAAGTGCGGGTTTGTTTTGTTTTTTTTTTATTGTTTTTTAAAACTAAATACACCTTCTGAAATCAAACAGGTTTTTTTTTTGGGGGGGGGGGGGGGGTTTACATTCTGGGCTCTGGCGTCTGCAGTTCTGCACATGAGTGCAGACTGCACTTTGAAGTTCTGAACTCTGTAGCTTTGTTGAAAGAAAAGTTGAAATTCAAATCGGAAGTTCACTCGCGAATCGGAAGGCTCTGTCAGTCAGACAGTAATCTCAATATCTCATAGCCTCCTATAAAATTGAACAAGAATAGGAGGCTATGGTAATCTGAGGTATTTTTTCCACGGTATATATTTACTTTTTGGTTTTTGGCTATGCACCTGTCACATGTGACCTCAGACCTGCGGGCTGCGGGCTGCAGGCTGCAGAGTGCAGACAGTCTACACTCCAGTTCTCCACGACTCTCAAAAAAAAAATGAAATAAAAGAAATGCACACGAATAAAGGCAGCAGTTACTCAGTCATAGAGTTACAAACACTCCTTGATTTATTTAACGATTTGATTTTTATTTATTTTGCCATAGGGCATAAAAGTTATATTTGAAAATATTAAATCAAACTGCGGTGCCACAGCAAACACCATAATAAACACTTCACAACAGCTTATATAGAAAATATTACGCCCTTCGTACACTCAGTACGCTGGCGTCTTGTGGCGACTACCAAAACACGGACCTTGAGCAATATTCATACACGGGATGATACGTCAAACCATGGCTGCACACAGCAGTTCGCACCCGGCTCAAGAATTGTCAGAGTCTTCGCAAAATGACGCTCAATCAGAATCGATGTCCAGTTACACCCCCACGGAGCGAAGGAATATACTTACAGGAGCAATAGTCCTAATGATTTTCGCAACGGGAGGGCTTGCCATGTACATATCTGACTATAACCAAGCAGTACATATGGACAGTTTTCAAGATTCATCATCACATAAACATTCAAGTAGGCGTCAAATCAGGAGACAGACTTTTGCATTAGTCTCGGATATAGACGATGATACGTATCCCGATATAGCCGACATTTTACGCCCGATGCATCCTGATTATTTGGTGCTGGGCGGGGACATAAACTATGCAGGAGATCCCCCTTATATCGGTGTAAGTTCAAACTTTCCGGCGTATGCAGAGAACAAAAATATCATTTTTGCGTTTGGTAATCATGATTTTGAATCCGGCATCGACGCCTATGCAAATTTCTTTGAGATATCACCAGGAATGTCGTACGGCGGAATCGAGGTGGAGTCCAAATATTATTATACCAGGATTACGGGCGAGGTGCAGTGGTTTGTATTGTGTAGTCAGGGATACTACTGTGGCGATGACGAAAAAGGTATGAAGGAAGGAGGGCAACAGGCTGCATGGTTAGACCGCGTACTTGCTGAGAGTAGAGCAAACACTGATATTAAGTTTCGATTCGTTGTAAATCACTGGAGCCCGTTGTCCACTCTGGGATACTGCTGTGATGGTGATTGTGATTACCGGCTGCACTGGTTTCCCTTTGTCGAGAATGGCGTAGATGCCATATTCTCTGGGCACGACCACGCCTACCAACGCTTGAGTGTTCCGAAATCTTCTGATGGAGAGGTCTCTGTTAATGGCCACGACTATACACTTAACGGATGGGAAGGATTGACCATGGTAGTGACAGGCACTGGTAAGAACAACCCTGGTCGAGCAGAAGGCTCCTGTAGTGACCACACAGGCTTCAGCTCGTACAACAAATATGACGAGGATGACGACGCCCGAGGTGTGATAATAGCCACTTTGAGCCAGTATGCGAACGGAGATGCCCTGGAGTTTTTGTATATAGCGACCGACGGTCGGGTCTTGGACATGTTTTCGGTCCTGAACACGGGACACTTACAAAACACATGGAATCACGGTGAACCTGTCGAGCCCTAAGTCAGTGTGATTAACTCTAAATATCCTGTTTCTGTGTGTAGTGCATACTCTGAACTGTATAAACTTGTATTTTGAGTTTTTGTTTTAATGTGCATAGATCTGCATATATAGGTCACCGCAAAACTTCCTGATGGTAGCAAGCGCTAAGGTGATGGTTGCGCTCGCGCGTTGTACAACACGACGCATACAGAATATATACTTTTTGTAGTACTCGAATGCATTCGAAGCTGATAAAAGCTCAGCATGGCTAGTCGATGACGAAAGTTACTTGTACAATATTGCTGCAAACCTATAGGTAGGAAATGATAGCAAAAGCGACAGTTTGCTATAATTCGGCTACTAGAATTTAGTATTTATACAATAATCAAATAAGATTTATAAAGCATATACAGAAAACGACAGATTGGCGGAGTTGGATGACCGAATGTATACCAAATAGCTATCGGGTATGGCCTTCGGTTCTTAGTTCCTATCCGAACCTAGTATCATATGGTTTAAAAGAAAATATGCAGTAGAAGGCTAATCGTGTATCGTTTAGATGTGCACTGTAAAGTTATTTCAAATGACACGTAGTGGAACAATAGTGCAGTGCAACTCTATTTTGTGGGTCATGTGTTCACGCTATGTGTGTGTTTGTTAGGCCGACATGCTCCTCGAACAAACGCGCTAGCTTCGGTTTGAATATTAAACCCCCGTGTACTTAATACACAGTCAAAGCAGCTCATTACAGATCTCGATTGGTCACTTTTACTTTCTTTCCGGAAGGAGGCTGATTCCGTTGTACACGTACCTTCTGTGCATGCATGCAGCCCCTCATAGACGCTGTTTGTGCATTATTTCAAATTGGATTTGGAAATACATACATATGTTGTATCTTCAAATACAATTTGTATTGAATACGTGTAGTTCGACAAAGATATATGTAGCATAAGACCATACGGAGAATCAACATTGTCGTACAATAAGTGTATGTTGCGGCGGAGCTGCGCTTTGTATTTAATCATAATACTCTCTCTCTCTCTAGTAGATCCTACACTAGAGACTATCTCCAGTAGAGACACTAGACTATACTAAAGAGAGTGTGACAGCAAGGTCACGAGGTTTATTTAAAAAAATGCAACGTCTTGGTTGACAGATGTTTTTGTATAGTGTTCTGTTTTCTTTATAGATATGAGATAATGATGACATACGTAAATATATGATACCCATCAGACACAGCCTCCGTCTGAAAAAAAGATGTGTAGAAAAGATGTAGCGTTTAACTTTAAACGTTATACCTATTCAGAGGCCAGATTTCCAGCTCTCCATTTGTGCTCAATTTTACCAATTAAAAAAAGGGTAATGTTAAATACGTAGCCTGTATGATTCAGAACGCTGTGAATGTTATAAGTACCGAACTTTAATTCACCACATCATAAACAATTCCCATTAATTTCACTTTAAACTTTAGCCGCTTGCTGTTTCAACTTCAACTTTGTACGTTTGCTGTTTCAATATCAACTTTGTACCTTTGCTGTTACAATTTGCACTTTGTGCGGTTGCTGTTTCAATTTGCACTTTGTACGGTTGCTGTTTCAATTTGAACCTTGTGCGGTGGCTGTTTCAATATCAACTTTGTGCGGTTGCTGTTTCAATTTCAACTTTGTACGTTTGCTGTTTCAATTTCAACTTTGTACATTTGCTGTTTTAATATCAACTTTGTGCGGTTGCTGTTTCAATTTCAACTTAGTACGTTTGCTGTTTCAATTTCAACTTTGTGCAGTTGCTGTTTAAATTTCAACTTTGTGCAGTTGCTGTTTCAATTTGCACTTTGTGCGGTTGCTGTTTCAATTTGC